CAGCTGGAAGGATTTTTACTGAAACTTTTTTTAGTTTTGGACATTTGTTATGATGCGTAACCATGGCAACAAGGCAGTTTTCTACAACCAACAGCAGCTGATTAACATCTCAAAAGCTCAAATAATATCTCAACTACAGTCCCAAATCTCAAATGAGTTGAAAAGGATGTTCTGTGGACACATTTTCATCTACCTGCCAGCTGTGCTCGAGTGCCTGATCTCTGAGATCCTGGAACTAGCAGGAAACACGGCTCATGACAGTGGAAGGACAGGATCGTCCCTCGGTACAAACAGCTGGCTGTCCGCAGTGACGAGGAACTCGGCAGACTGCTGGGAGGAGTGGCCATCACTCTGGGAGGAGTTCTGCCCGGCATTCGGGCGGTCCTACAGTCCGGGGGAACCGAGAGGCCAGCCGAGTCTGGGTGGACGGATCGGACGGCATCTGCAGCCAGCCAGATCCACTGTGGGATGGACCTTTACAAGAGATCCTTCCTGTCTACAGCCATCAGTATCTATAACATCTCTTAATGAAATGAGGATAACGAGTTACAACAACAAATAATTTCCCTCCGGGATTAATAAAGTATTTTTGAATTGAATTGTATCAATGATCCTAAGAAAGGTGAGGAATCAGCCCAGAACTACATGGGAGGAACTGGTCAATGACCTGAAGAGACCTGGCACCACTGTTTCCATGGTTATTGTGGGTAATACACTAAGACACCATAGTTTAAAATCATGCATGGCACGGAAGGTTCCCCTGCTTAAATCAGCACACGTCCAGGCCCGTCTTAAGTTTGCCCATGACCATGTGGATGATCCAGAGGAGTCATGGGAGAAAGTTCTGTGGGCAGATGAGACCAAAATAGAAATTTTTGGTCTTAATTCCACTCGCCGTGTTTGGAGGACGAAGAATGATGAGTACCATCCCAAAACACCATCCCTACTGTGAAGCATGGGGGTGGAAGCATCATGCTTTGAGGGCGTTTCTCTGCAAATTGGACAGGACGACTGCACTGTATTAAGGAGAGGATGACCAGGGCCATGTATTGAGAGATCTTGGGGAACAACCTCCTTCCTCCTCCTGCATCGGAAATGTGACTATGGTCAAAAACAGCCATATGTCCCACCGCGCTCTCTGAGGTCAGCAGACCAGATGCTTCTCTCAGTTCCAGAAACCCGTCGTAAGCTCAGAGGTGACAGGGCTTTCTCTGTTGCAGGTCCACGACTGTGGAATGAGTTGCCACTGAGTGTCCGGCAGGCTCCCACACTCTCAGTCTTTAAGTCTCGCTTGAAGACCCACTTCTATTCGCTTGCCTTTAACACGGTGTGATTTGTTTTGGTCCGGTCTGTTCTCTACTCTGTTGGCCATTTTAGTTAGCTTGTGCTGCTATTTGTACCTGTATTTCTATTTTATGTTTTCCTGTCTGCTGTGCATGTTTGGTTCTTTTGTACAGCACTTTGGTTGGCCTTGTTGCTGTTTTAAGTGCTATATAAATAAATTGGTATGGTATGGTATGGTAAAAACATTCGTGTTTACCCCAACCAGAAACCATGGATGACCAGCCAGGTTCGCACACTCCTCAGAGCCCGCGACGCTGCCTTCAGGTCAGGTGACAGAGCTCTGTACCGAGCTGCTCGAGCCAACCTGAATAAGGGAATAAAAACAGCAAAGGCTGACCATAAAAGGAATATAGAGTCCCATCTGTCCAGCAACAACTCAAGGGAGGTGTGGAAGGGCATAAAAAACATCACTAACTATAGAGGCTGTGAGGTGACAACAGGAGACCTGAGTGATCACTAGCAGAGGAGCTAAACTGCTTCTTTGCACGCTTTGACGCACCACAGCAGCACCCATCTGATCCTGCCCTGCTCCCACACCTTCACCAGAATTTTCAATCTCTCCCTGGCCCAGGCTGTCATCCCTCTCTGCTTAAAATCTGCAACCATCATCCCAGTCCCGAAAACGCCTACCATCACCAGCCTGAATGATTACCGACCGGTGGCTCTCACCCCGGTAATTATGAAGTGCTTCGAGAGACTGGTTCTCCAGCACATCATGGACTATCTCCCTCCGAACTTTGACCCCTACCAGTTTGCATATTGCACCAACAGGTCCACAGAGTATGCTATTGCAGTAGCTCTCCACACCGCGCTGAGCCACCTAGAACAACAGCACAGCTACGTTCGAATGCTCTTTGTGGATTACAGCTCGGCCTTTAACACAATCATTCCGGACATTCTTATAAATACATTGGACAATCTCGGCCTCCCCCCACTCACATGTGCCTGGATAAAAGACTTCCTAACCAATCGGCCCCAATCTGTAAGACTTGGTCCCCACCTCTCCTCCACTCATACGCTGAGCACTGGCTCCCCACAGGGCTGTGTGCTGAGCCCCCTGCTGTACTGTCTCTACACCCATGACTGCAGCCCGGCCCACAACAACAACCTCATCGTCAAGTTTGCTGATGACACCACAGTGGTCGGACTAATCTCAAGGGGAGATGAGACTTTTTACAGACAGGAGGTCCTGGAGCTAGCAATCTGGTGCTCAGAGAAAAATCTGGCTCTGAATATCAAAAAAACCAAGGAGGTAATTATTGATTTCAGGAAGCACAGCACCAACCTAGCCCCCCTTTACATCAACGGCGAGTGCGTGGAGAGGGTTCACACTTTCAGATTTCTTGGTGTCCATATCTCTGCTGACCTAAACTGGAAAGAGAACACCACAGCGGTCATCAAGAAGGCTCAGCAGAGACTACACTTCTTAAGAGTCCTTAAGAAGCACAACTTAAACACAAAACTGCTGCTGACCTTCTACCGCTCGTCCATCGAGAGCCTGCTGACATACTGTATCTCAGTATGGTACGGCAGCTGCACCCTGGCTGACAGGGAGAGGCTTCAGAGAGTAGTCAAGACAGCACAAAAGATAATTGGCTGCCCTTTCCCCTCCCTGATGGACATTTACACATCACGCTGCCTCAACAGAGCAGAAAGCATAATCAAGGACTGTTCACACCCGGGTTTTGAACTGTTTGACTTGTTACCTTCAGGGAAACGCTACAGGTGCATCAGAACAAGAACAAACAGATTCAAGAACAGTTTTTTCCTGAAAGCCATCACCACACTGAACTCACACATGCACTGATTTAATCATCTAACCTCCCAAACACTTGGACTTCTAATGTGCAATACTACTGACATTTCATACCCTCAGTCACCTTAACTACCTCACTAATATCCATAATGTGCAATACAATTGTGTAATACTTGTATTTTTTATTTATTTCATTATTATATCTATATTGCGTTACATTTTTTATATTTTTAGTGTGTGTTTTCTTAAGGCGTGTTTTTGCACTGGAAAAAGGAGTGGCTCTTAATTTCATTGTACTGCGTATAATGACAATAAAGGCATTCTGATTCTGATTCCCTCAGAGCATTGAAGATGGGTCGTGGCTGGGTCTTCCAACATGACAATGACCTGAAGCACACAGCCAGGAGAACCAAAGAGTGGCTCCGTAAGAAGCATATCACGGTTCTGGAGTGGCCTAGCCAGTCTCCAGACCTAAACCCTATAGAAAATCTTTGGAGGGAGCTCAAACTCCGTGTTTCTCAGCGACAGTCCAGAAACCTGATCTAGAGAAGATCTGTGTGGCGGAATGGGCCAAAATCCTGCTGCAGTGTGCACGCCTGGTGAAAAACTACAGGAAACCTTTGACCTCTGTAACTGGAAACAAAGGCTACTGTACCAAATATTAACATTGATTTTCATAGGTGTTCAAATACTTATTTGCAACACTAACACACAAATAAATTATTAAAAAGTAATGCATTGTTATTTCCGGATTTATTTATTTTTTTTAGATTATGTCTCTCACAGTGAACATGCACCTAAGATGAAAATTTCAGATCCCTCCATGATTTCTAAATGGGAGAACTTGCTAAATCACAGTGTGTTCAAATACTTGTTTTCCTCACTGTACATGCATTACCTACTGTATTGGTTTTAAAAATGTTATATTTATATGTTTTGTTATTTGTATTCATTTTCATGATGGTGGGAGATTTTACTTATCCATATAACATTTTATTGAATCTTACAAATATTACTTATAAAGTATATGAACGTTAATCTTCTTACCTTGTCAAAAGTGTTCACTGCAAATCCACGAATATACCGAGTGCTGTCAGTCCTTAAGGTTGATGGCTGCCATCCATCCTGTCTTCGGTCCTCATCAAAAGGAATGTGATAAAACAACAAGTTTGGTTTCTTTCCTTGTCTGTTTGAGCAGCCCGCACAGCCCTATGACCATTTTATAGACAAATCCACAGAATAACAAGGATATTAAACAACCAACTGGTGAGTTTTGACTAGTTACACAGGACTGGAGGCGGTTTGTTTACGTCATCATGGCAGCGGGGATGTTTTCCAAAGAGAGTGACGTCACGTGCAAAGGGTCAATATCCTTTCTCGAACTTATCCATTATCCATTTTGCACATGTACAAACTATTTCAGACTGCTTTCGGCACCGATCTGTGTTTTTGCACCGTGTTGTTCCTGCTGCTGTGACAACCTAATGTCCTCACTGAAGATTAATTAACATTTTATTTTAACCAGGAAAATCCCACTTAGATCACAGATCTCTTTTACAAGGGAGGCCTGGGGGCAGCCTGACATGCACGTTTTTGATCTGTGGGAGGAAACAGGAGTACCCGGATAAAACCCACGTAAGCACGAAAGACCCCAGGTCCAACCGGGGATTGAACCCAGGACCTTCTTGCTGTGAGGCAACAGTGCTAAGCACTGAGCCGTCGCGCTGCCAATAATAAAGTTGTCTGTCTGTCTGTCTGTCTGTCTATCTATCTATCTATCTATCTAATCTCTGTCGCCAGCTCGGATTCTCTTCCCATCCTTGTTCACCTCGTTGGTGTTCTGGGTGTTAAAACCACCCTCCGTCAGTGAGTTAGCTTAGCAGGCTAACGGTGAGGTTACCTGACGCTTTCAGAGAGCGGACACTGATGTATTTCCTCAGTTTCTTGATGGTTCTGGTCCGGACGGTCTTCTCGTTGGAAGCTAGTCTCTGTGCCAGAAAAGCCTCTGGTTCCAGAACAGACGCCATGCTCGCTGGGTTTCACGTGGACACGAACTTCTCCCTCCGAAACTTTGTATTACGTTTACACGTGCGTCGCACGTTGATGACGTATATCTTCTTCTTGTGTTTTTTTTGTGTGGTCGTTAAAACTGTTGAGAGCATTTCCGCCACCCACTGGTACCATTTTATTTATAGAGCACTTAAAACAGCTACGAGGCCAACCAAAATGCTGTACAGACAGAACAATAGACAACACACGAAGCAATAGACAAAATGAAGTAAATAAAAAATATGGACATAAAAACTATGCAGATAATAAATATGATGACAAACCAGTGCGGAGCGTACAGGTTCAAAACACAGATCCTCTGGTGTTGAAAGCTACTGAATAGTATCCAACATTTTTCAGTCAGGTCATCTGGACAGTTTCTTTTTTTGTGCTGAAACGTTTCGCCTTCGATCCGGAAGGCTTCATCAGTCAAGGAAAACTGATTCTTCCCCCAACATCTTTCTTCAAAGTGGAACAAACCAGTTCTGCTTGTGATTAGATGGTCTCTTTGGTACGCCCCTCCTCCATTGCCGGCCCTCTTCCTTGTTGACAGTCTTGTCAAACTGGTTGAAAACAACAAAGTCCATGCTCAATATTCTACTGAATAGTAGTGAGTTTTTAAACGGGATTTGAAAACCGAGAGGGAGGGTGCCTGTCTGACAAGCAGAGGTAACTCGTTCCAAAGTCTTGGTCCTGCTACAGAGAAGTCCCTGTCACCTCTGCGCTTCAGACGAGTTCCTGGAACTGTGAGGAGCAACTGGTCTGCTGACCTCAGGGAACGTGGTGGGACATACGATAGTAGCAGATAGAGAGATGGGGGGTGAAACTGTTCAGGGGTGTCAAATTCAAATACAATGTGGGCCCAAATTCATTCAATCAACCTTTATTTCTACAGGTAAATACCATTGAGCCTCAAGGACTCATTTACAAGAGAGACCTGATTTCAACAAAGAATCATGACAACAATGGACAACAGCAACAACAATAAACAGTAAAAAGTCATAAAATTTTTATTTTTTTATTTTTTTTTAACAAATAGGATGGCCAAAAAAAAAAAAAAAAAAAGTAACAAAAAACAGCTAGAATCTAAGGCGAATGTAGAAAACTAAAAACAGGAACATGTCTGCATTGGACCCTGCCAGGAGTCCAACAGATTCTTAAAGCCACTTAGAGAGGTCAAGGTCGAGAGCTTCAGACCTTTTTGTAAGATATTCCAGGAAACAGGAGCGGAGTAGGAGAAGGTCCTTTTGCCTATTTCAGTTCGCACTGAGGGAACACTGCAGTTAATAATGTCCTGAGAGCGCACGCTGTAGCTGCACTCATGCAGGGAGGAGATGTATGAAGGCAGCAGACGAAGAAGTGATTTAAAGATGAAAATGTACCAGTGAGTGAGTCTGCGTGAAGTTAATCATGTCAAGTTAACCAGTGAATACTGGGTGCAGTGGTGGGTACAATAATCACAGTCAGTTATGAATCTTAGTGCACCATGATAGACAGCATCCAACATCTGCAGCATCCAACATCTGCAGCATCCAACATCTGCAGGGTTCTTGTAGGAGCGTTCATGTAAATAATATCACCGTGATCAATTGAGGGAAGGAAAGTCACAGATACAAGGTGTTTCCTAACATCCAGGGTTAGACAGGATCTGGTTCTGAAAAAGAAACCCAGTTTAACTTTCAGTTTCTTTACCAAGTTTTCCACATGGAGCTTAAAAGAGAGATGTGAGTCGACCAAGATACCCAAATATTGAATCAACAAACTCAATGGGGACACCATTTGAGGATGAGATCAGAGGAAGAACTGCTGGGACCAACTTCCTAATTGAAAAAAGTATCCCTTTGGTTTTGTCGGCATTTAGGACAAGTTTGAGGCGGAACAAATCTGTCTGGATGTTGCTGAATGTAGATTTCAAAAGCTAGAAAGCCTTAGCAACAGTTTTAGCTCGACAATAAACAACTGTGTCATCAGCATAGAAATGTATGGATGCATTAGGGATGTTTTTACCTACTTTATGTATCTAGATTGTAAAGAGGGTGGGTCCTAAGACTGAGCCTTGTGGTACACCATTGTTGACTGTTAAATAACTGGAGGAAGTACCATTATGTTGAACACATTGCCTCCGGTCTGAAAGATAGTTAGAGAACCAACCAATGGTGTGTTCTGAGAAACCAGTTTCTGAGAGTTTATGACACAAGATGTTCTGATCCACAGTGTCAGAATCTTTAGACAGGTCTAAGAAAAGTGCAGCACAATAATCCTTAGCATCCAGTGCTTCAACAACGTCATTAAGAACCTTCAGTGAAGCAGTCGTGCTCTGTTGTTTCCTGAAACCAGATTGATGGGGAGGTAAGATGTTAAATGAGTCCAGGTAATTTTTGATTTGAGAGTTTATCAGTTTTTCTAGAGCAGAGTTTAGAGATTGGCTGATAGTTGTTCAGTGAGGGGGGGGGGGGGTCACCTCCCTTCAGCAAAGGAAGAACAAAGGCTGTTTTCCAAGCTTTTCTCTGTTTTCTTGTTTTCCAAGAGTTTTGTCTTATGGAGAGACTGAAGATGTGGGTCACAGGGACTGTGATGATATGAGCAGCCAGCCTTAAGAAATAAGGTGGAATTTCATCTGGACCTGCAGATTTTTTAGGATCAAGACCTTTTAACAGTTTATTAACCTCACTAATGCCCCTTTTCCACTGTTACGGTGCGGATCAGGTCAGTTCGGGTCGGTTCAGATCGGCTCGTGTGTCATTGAGTTTCCATTTACACTTCTGGACCGGCTCTGTAGGCGGAGACTAGAATCCAACTCGTCTTACCACCTGGTGGCAGTAGTGCTCCCTTAAGCTACTTACTAGCCACCACTAAACGTATTAGAAGAAGAACACCCTGAAGACTTTGTCACACGATGTTGTGGAAGAGCTGTCATGCTCTAATGGAGTACCTCATGAGCTGTAACTTTTAAACCTGATTCATAACCCTACCTTACTGCCTTCCCTGCCTGCTTTAAATCCATGTGTTTTACATTTTAGTATAGATTTTTACATCCATCCATCCATTATCTTTACCCGCTTATTCCATTTTGGGTCAAGGGGGTCGCTGGTGCCCATGTCCAGCAATCACTGTGCGGGGGGCGGGGTACACCCTGGACGGGTCGCAAGTCCATCACAGGGACACAGAGACAAATGAGACAAACAACCATTCACTTTCTCACTCACACTTAGGGACAATTTAGAGTTACCAATCAGCCTAACATGCATGTTTTTGGTCTGTGTGAGGAAACTGGAGTACCCGGAGAAAACCCACGCATGCACGGAGAGAACATGCAAACTCCACCCAGAAGGACCCTGGACCGGGGTTTGAACCAAGGACCTGCTCGCTGAGAGGCAGCAGCTCTACCAGTTGCGCCACCGTGCTGCTAGATTTTTACAATAAAGATGTATTAAAAATATCTTCACTTTTATTATTTACAGATATGCACAAGGTTCATGTTAAAATTACAAAACATCACACTGTGCTGTAATCTTTGAAACTGCTTTTACAATAAGCTACAGACTTGAAAACAATTAGATTAAATTTTGTCATTAAATTTTAAAGATTTGTCTTTTATTAAATTTAAAAACAAATGTATTACTTATTAATCTAAAAAAGTTCAGTCTGGTCCTCTGGACATTCAATAAACAAAAACAAAAAACATTTGTTTATTTATTATAAAAATTATTGTTTTATTTGTTTTGTGAATGTCCAGAGGACCAGACTTAACTTTTTAGATTTTTCTACCTGGATTATTGAGCAGCATCAGGATATTACTTAATAAATAGTCAGTTGGTCTGTGAACACCTGGGGGTCCTCCTAGAAGAGTTGAAGAGGAGGCTGTTGATGTCTGTGCCTCCCTGGTAAAGTTGCTGCTCCCACGACCCGGAAGCAGAAGATGGATGGATGGATGGATGGTGAAGGAGGAGACCATCAAACAGCAGGAGTGGTCAGTTCAGGTGAACTCCTGCCTGTTTGCTTCAGATCAGCTGTTCAAATCTCTGCAAGTTCAAATAAAAGGTGCACCAGGACTTTCAGCTGAATCTCTCGGGCCACAGTTGTACGACCGATAACTGATAACTGTCTTTTCTGAATTTTTGACTTTTTGTCTCACTTCATCCTAGAACCAAAAAATTTATAACATAACAGCTGAGCAGATTCTAGATACAGATATTCTTTGTCATTCGCACCACATGTGGTGGATCAAAATTATGTTCACAGGGTCCCAGTTACATCCAACAATAAAATGTAAAAGAACAGTAATAAGATCTAAGATATGAACTAAGAAAAACATCAACTAAAAATATGCTAAGCACTAATAGCATAAAAACAATAAATACGCCAAACAGCAGCATGGACATGAGTCTGTGTGAACAGATGAGCACGATTGTACACAGCAACATGAAACAGATCAGCAGCAACATGAAACAGATCAGCAGCAACATGAAACAGATCATCAGTAACATGATGTGATTATCCTGGTTAGATATTCATAATGCTGCACAAACTCAAGTTCATGTTGCTGTTTGACGTATTGTTTTGATTGTTTACTCTTATTAGTGCTTAGTGTATTAGATGTTTTTTAGTTGATATTTTTCTTAATTCATATATTAGATCTTATTACTGTTTTTCTTTTACATTTTGTTGTCTGTAACTGGGACCCTGTGTACATAATTTCATCCCAATTCAGTATTTATACAACATTTTATTTTTTTTTACTTTAAAAATAAAGTAAAAAAATGCTTTAGCAAACTCACTGTCATCTAGAAAAGGCAGACATCACTGAGAGTCATGTTCATTGATTTCTCCAGTGCATTTAACACAATCCAGCCTGATTTGCTTTGTCAGAAACTCCAGAAGACTCAGGTCTCAACAATCACCTGGAACAAAGACTACCTGACGGACAGACCACAGTTTGTGAGACTGAAGGGTTGTGTGTCTAACCAGGTGGTCAGGAGCACCACAGGGGACTGTACTCTCACCATTCCTTTTCACTCTGTA